GAAGAAAGAAAGAAAGAAAGAAAGAAAGAAGGAAGGAAGAAAGAAAGAAAGAAAGAAAGAAAGAAAGAAAGAAAGAAAGAGAACACGATCACAATTTAGCCCAAAATTTTAGGTGCTAAGCAAGAGCATTGTTAAGTGAGTTTCACCACATTTTCCAACTTGGCCATGCCGGTCACATGACCAGCAAGCCACTCCCACAAAACAGGCCATACTTACAGAATAAGTTGCTCAGTTTCGATTTAAAGCAACAACATTTGTTTTTCTCCTTAATCTCCCGGCAGAAAAGTGAGTTTCCTTCTTTCTTCCTCCCTCTCTCCCTCCCTCCCCCCTCTCTCTTACTTTTTAAAGCTGAACTGGCAGGGGAAATACTTTTTTAGAAAATCTTCTGATGGGAGAACAGGTTTGTGGGCGTGGCCAAGCCACCATTTTTACTACTGGTCCCATCAGTACGCCAGATTTTCACTACCTCTTCTGGCATACCAGACAGTATAGGGAGGAACCCACTTCTGATACATACCCAGTGAAGAAATCCTGCAGCCGTGAGCCAGGTACTGACAAATACCGCAAGAAGTTTAGACAGCTTGATTGCAGTACTGAAGATGCAAAGAGAGGGTTGATATGGATTAGTTTCAAAGGAATAGGTGCAACATTCACCTTCATTTAATCCTTTGAGGGTCTTCCAAGTGAGGCACTCTTAATTAATGTTCTTAACTCAAGTAGACATTGATTGTTTTATTAATTGCATTTCTCATCCTGTTTCTGGCCCTATAGATCCCACAGTGACCCATGGAAACTAACAATAATATGTTAGATACAAGGTTTTAATTCCAGTTTCTGCTACCAAAAGGAATTGAAGCATTAGAGGTCTTCTTTCAGCCCATTATGGTAGAGTTTGAATTGCGACAGTTCAGATAGAGTAGGCAGTTTATCATACGTTCTTTGCCATTATTTTAATTTACCCCAGTTCTTTTTTAAAATAAAATACTACTACAAAGCAATCTCAGTAGTAGTTGTATATGCCATATAGAATTGTTGGAGTGTTGGAAGACCTTCATTTTCTAGAGGCAAGTCGTTCCGCTTATTAATTGTTGTAATTAGTTGTAATTGTTTTCTATAAAAAAGATGTTGAGATTCTAGAAAAAGTGCAGAGACCAACCAGGATGATTAGGGAACTGGGGACTAAAACATATAAAGAACGGTTACAGGAACTGGGCATGGCTAGTCTAGTGAAGAGAAGGACCAGGGGAGAGATGATAGCAGTCTTCCAGTATTTGAGGGGCTGTCCTAGAGAGGAGGGGGTCAAGCTATTTTCTAGAATCTCAACATCTTTTTTATAGAAAACAATTACAACTAATTACAACAATTAATCAGTGGAATGACTTGCCTCCATAAGTTGTGGGTGGTCCAACACAGGAGGTTCTTAAGAAGATATTGGACAACCATTTGTTTGA